CTTTAGCTGGTACAGCTAAGTAATGTTTACCTTTATCTGTAAAGTTCATTTAAGACATTGGTTGAGATTCAGAAAATCATTAATAAAAATGGATACCTTAGTGAGTTTAGGACTCCTTTTAAAATGGAAATGCACCATGCTGCACATTTTTAATTTTCTCTTAAATGTATTTAGAAAAACGGGAAGTGAAGAAATTGAGAAAGACCACATTTTTTACTATTTACTTTTTTACCAAGTGAAATGTACCAGTTACCACACCAAGTATTGTTGGTTTTCTTTTGTTTTGTTGGTTTTTCTGAGACATGGTTTCTCTGTGCTGTTCTGGGACTCTCTTTGTAGACCAGTCTATCCTCTAACTCACAGAGATATTTCTGGATCTGTCTCCTGAGCGCTGAGATTGAAGGTGTTCAGCACCACAACTGGCTGAAATGTTGATTTTTCGTCATTTTAAAATTAAAAATAACTGGGCGGTGGTGGCCCACACCTTTAATCACAGCACTTAGGAGGCAGAGGCAGGCGGATTTCTGAGTTTGAGGCCAGCCTGGTCTACAGAGTGAGTTCCAGGACAGCCAGAGCTACACAGAGAAACCCTGTCTCGGGGGAAAAAATAAAAAATAAAAAAAAAACATGATCTGAGCTCCATTCCTGCCTGAAACCATGAGCCCCAATTCCCAGAGAGAGACCTGGTCTCAGAAAGAAAGATGGGCTGTTCCAAGGTGAACACTCAAGGTTTCCCTCTGGTTTCTGGACTCACAAGCACACTTGCACATTCATACATGTATGTACACAGGGCAGTGCTCTTTCTTTCTTTCTTTCTTTCTTTCTTTCTTTCTTTCTTTCTTTCTTTTAACAATGTATTCTCTGCTCCGTATTGTAAGCTAGTATACTTAGAACTTTATTTCTTTTTCAGTTCACAGTGTAGGCATTCTGGCTTTTGAGACCTACTTGATACTAGAATTTTGTAACAAGATTTCTTTTTTCAGGAGTACATGATTTTAACACCTGTAGCTCCTGTTCTAAATATATTTAGTGGGCTACAGAGAGATTCCACAGGCATTGTTAGCACTAACTGACATGAAAGATCATGCTTTTCTGCAGTCAGAAAAAAATTAAACATTGCATGCCATGAGTGAACGTGTAGTGTAGACAAATACCTTGCACATTTGCTGTGTAACAGAAACAGTTACTGATCTCAAAATGATGTGGAAGTCATTGTTTTTTTCCCATGGAAATATATTTATTTTAGTGTCTATGTCTAATGATAACCCTTGGATGAGCCTTGTCCAAGAATAAATTCAGTCTTGAATCATCTGATTCATACTTGTTTCCCTAGACTCTCAAGGTTATGGTGGATAAGCCAACATTTCAGCTTTGTCTTATAGGAAATCTTACTATGAATGTTACTGTATTCTTGTTTACTCTCTGGGCTTGAGTTTAGAGAAGCGATCAGACCATATAGACTAGATCTTTCTTGGAAAGGCCTGGGAAATGCAGCCTCTGCATCACCTATTCCAGGCTGCTGTACCAGCACAGAGAAGCTAGGTCCGGTTGCATCTTGATCTCCTAGAACCGAGTTGTGGAGGAGTAAAAATCCATCCCTGATTACTTTGTTTTGGGGTTTTAGAAAAATGTAATGTTTGCATACTCATAACTATTATAATAAATTGCATCTAACAGTTTCACTTTATACACAGGAGCCCTGGAAGAGATTTTACTTAATTGATATAATTAGGAAAGCAGAAAGAAGTGAGAAAAAACACTTAAGCAACTCTGTAGCTGAATGGAGATGTGTAGTTTAAAAATCTGAGTTGCTGGTAGGAAGTCAGAAGGCAATAATAATTGCCTTCACATGTGTGTGCATGTACAGTATAACGCCCACAGAGGCCAGAAAGGGGTATCAGATCCCCAGAACTGAAGTTACAGATGGCTGTGAGCTACCACGTGGGTCTGGGAACCAAACTCAGGTCCTCAGCATAAGCAGCAAGTGTGCTTAACTACTGAGCCATTTCTCCAGCCCCAGTAATACTTTTATAAAATACGTTTTTATTTTATGTGTATGAGTTGTCTTAGTCAGGGTTTGTATTCCTGCACAAAACATCATGACAAAGAAGTAAGTTGGGGACGAAGGGTTTATTCAGCTTACACTTCCACATTGCTGTTCATCACCAAAGAGCATCAGGACAGGAACTCGCACAGGGCAGGAACTTGGAGGCAGGAGTTGATGCAGAGGCCATGGAGGGATGTTACTTACTGGCTTGCTTCCCCTGGCTTGCTCAGTTTGCTTTCTTATAGAACCCAGGACTGCCAGCCCAGGGATGGCACCACCCACAATGGGCTGGGCCATCCCCCCTTGATCACTAATTGAGAAAATGCCTTACAGCTGGATCTCATGGAGGCATTTCCTCAAGGGAGGTTCTTTTCTCTTTGATAACTCCAGCTTGTGTCAAGGTGACACACAAAACCAGCCAGTACATGAGTGTTTGCCTGCATGCATGTATGTATGTATGCATGCATACCACATGACATAGTCCTTTGTAAGAGCAGCCAGTCTTTTTAATAGCTGAGCTGTTTCTCCAGCCCTGATAGTTAGTTCTTTTTCATCCTGAGAAGTGGGAATGAGTGCCAATGACTAGGATGTCATAAACCTTTTTATATTTCCAGCTTGTTAATTTCCAGAATGATAATTTATCCCTTGTATTTCAAAAATCTTCAAATATTTTTAGATCTTTTGAGAATTTTGAGGATTCCATATATAAGTATATTTACATAATCTCTTTCCTTTCCTCCCAAATCTTCCTGTACCCCTACCCCCACTGAGATTCATGACCTCTTCTATAGTATTTTCACACACACACACACACCCTCTCCTAAATCCATTTACTGTTGCTCAAATGTACATGCATTTAGGGCTGCCCACTTAGGATTGAATAACCTATCAAGGGGGCTTGTTCCTGGAGAAAACTGATTTCCCACCTCTCTCAGAGGCCATTGATTGCCTGTGCTTCTTCATCTAGGAGTAGGGCTTTGAGAGATAGTCCCCCACCCACATTGACATGTCATCTGGTGTCATTATGCAATGCAACTCTTGTGCAGATCTCATGGGTACAGCATCCCAATCATGTCTTAGAAGATACTGTCTTGCCGCAGATATCCTGGTCCTCTGGCTTACAGTCTTTCTACCTCTTCTGTAATGTTCCCTTAGCCTTAGATATTGGGGTCACCTCTTCCAGTTTTGAGAGAGAAGGGGGGGAGAGAGAGGTGTGTGTGAGAGAGAGAGAGAGAGATGTCTGGTATCTTCTGTCACTTTTTACCACATTTTTATGAAACAGGATCTTTTTAAAAATTTTACTGATTTCTTTTTATTTTGCATGCATTGGTGTTTTGCTTGCATGTATGTCTGTGTGAGGGTGTTGGATCCCTTGAAACTGGAGTTGTGAGCTGCCATGTGGGTGCTGGGAATTGAACCCAGGCCCTCCGGAAGAGCATCCCATGCTCCCAACCACTGTTCCATCTCTCCAGCCTACTAGAGACATGGCCTTTCAGTAAACCCAGAACTCAACCATGAATCTAGACAAGCAGCTGTCAGTGGATTCTTTCTGCCTCCTGAGTGTTGGTGTTCAAGGCATGCTTCCTCACCCTTGGCTTTTCTGTAGCTTCTGGGGAGCTGAACTCAGATCCTCATACCTGCACAGCAAGCACTTTGTCCACTGAGCCATCTCTCTAGCACCCAATTTTTGGTTCTTGATAATGTAAGTTTTTTCAACAAAAGCTGTAGTTACACGGCATCTTTTGATGTTCTACCACAAACTTAGGTTGTAAACTCACTTAGTAATACAGATTGTATTTTAAATATTTTTAGTCATGTGACATTGAAACATGAGGCTTCCAGGCGTAATGGCGTACATCTTTAATCCCATAACTAAGAGGCAGGTAGATTTCTTGTGAGTTTGAGACCAGCCTGATCTATATAGGGAGTTCCAGGCCAGCCAGGATTACACAGTGAAACCCTATCTCAGAGAGAGAGAGACAGACAGACAGACAGACAGACTGACTGAGTTTAGGTTTGTGGTGTAGTTTATCACAGTCAAAAGCTACTCTGCATAAAAAGTAACAAGCTGTATAGTTTTATGTTAATGATATCACAGATAGATTATTGCCTAAAAATAAGAACTGATTATATATATATATATATATATATATATATATATATATGAATGCTAGACTTTAAAGGATAAGTAGGAAATACTGTGGAAATACATATGTGCCTGTATCTCCTAAGAATGTGTGTATATATGCCTATATATAGGAATAAGTGTATGTTGTCTATAAGAAGAATGTAACAGTTAAAATGTACCTATTTGAAGAAATTAAACCTTTTACGACTATAAAGCAATGCGAAGAATACTTTCTGCTAAGAAAGTGAAAGCCGTTGGACTGAAGCTGCACATAGTGTTTGGGGGACCATAAGAAGCGGTGAAGCTCTGCACAACATACTATGATGTCAGATAGCTTAAATCTCGTGAGTTTAAAAAGCTACAAATAAACCAGCTGAGAACAGGACCAGGCAGTGGTGGTTCACCCCTTTGATCTCAGCAACCAGGAGGCAGAGGCAGGTGGATCTCTTGAGTTCAAGGTCAGCCTGGTCTACATAGCCAGTTCCAGGACAGCCAGAGCTATGTAGAAACTCTTGTCTTGAAAAAAACAGAAAACAACAACACAAAAAGTAGAGAAGAGAAAAAAAGGAGAGGGGAAGGAGTTGGCAGCAGCCCTGCCCCAGCCAGGCTGGATCTTCAGTAAACAAAAAGGCGCCTATGTCTTAGCATTTCATCGCTGTGACAAAACACCTTGACCACAAAGCAAGTTGGGTAGGCTTACTCTTCAGATCACAGTCCATCATTGGAAGAAATCAGTACTCAAACAGGACTGGAACCTGGAGGCGAGAGCTGATTCATTCAGTGGCCTTGGAGGGGCGCTGCCTACTGGCTTGTTCAGCCTGTTGCTCAGCCTGCCTTCTTATAGAACCCAGGACCTCCAGTTTAGGGAGGGGAGCGCTCATCATAGGCTGGGCCCTCCCCCACTGATCACTAATTGAGAAAATGCCTTACAGCTGGATCTCATGGAGGCATTTCCTCAACTGAGGGTCCTTCCTCTGATACCTCTAGCTTGTGTCAAAACCAGCCAGTCCACCCTATTGAGTAACGGCTGCCTCTTAAATGGGTCAGGGAATATGTGTGAAATGGGTGGTGTCACATATGTAAATGTATGACGTGTGACACATATTAAAAAGCTGGAAAATATTAACCAATCGTGCACACCCCTATGTGAAAACAAACGCCCTCATGTTAGATGACAGACCCTAATTGCCCTTTGTTTGTTTGTAGCCAAGTATTCTTTTTTATTTTGGTTGAAGGGAGGTTGTTTGTTCAGCTGCTTGTTTGGTTTTGGCTTTTCAAGTCCCAGTTTCTCTGTGTAGGCCTGGCTGTCCTGGAACTCAATTAAGAGATCCACCTGCCTCGGCCCCCTGAGGCCTGGGATGAAAGGCTGGCCTAGGCTCTGTAGTAATGTTCTCTAAATCTGTAGTTTGTATGGGTTAACCCTGTCGTTTCTAGGACTTGGTAAAGTCTTGTTGATAACCAGCAGACAAGGCAGCGATAGGCAGTAACCTGTTTCTCTCTGAAATCCCCACTTCCTGGTGACTTTGGTTTCTGGAGGAGAACTCTGAACCCCGTGCCCACCCCATGCTGTGGTGCTGTGGTTGCTGCGTCCCAGCTTTGCTCTGATTCTCCTGGCAGGCCAGAAGCGGACCCCTAGAAGAGGGGAGCAGCAAGGATGGAATGACAACCGGGGGACAGACGTGGTGCTTGATAGAGCAGAGCGAAGGTCCTACAGGGAATACCGGCCCTATGAAACCGAAAGGCAGGCTGACTTGACAGCGGAGAAGTTTACCGATGAGAAGTACGTACTTCAGTCCTCCATTAGGGTGGCCGGGGCCCCTCAGGTTTCCAGATCACTGCTAGGCTTTCTGACATTTCTGTGGTGGCAGTCCTAAGAATAATTTGCCAAGGTAAGTCACAAACCATGTTACCTTCAATAGAACACGAAGGCTCTGCCATTTACTTATTTCTTAGTTCTGGAAATGATTATGCAACGAAAAATTACCTGTGGGCTTGGGGTAGAGCTCAGCGGTTGACCACTTGGCCTACCATGCACAGAGTTCAAAGGACAAGTATTTGGGGTATGTGTGAAAAACCCCTTTTGTTTTTATTTTATGTATGTGGGTATTTTACCTGCATGTATGTATGCATACCACATGAGTGCCGAGTGCTCATGGAGGCCAGGAGCAGGTGTAAGATCCCTGGAACTAGAGATACAGATGGTTGCAAGCTACCACATGGGTGCTGGAAATCAAACCCAGGTCATTTGGAAGAGCAGCCAGTAGTTTTAACCACTGAGCCTGTAAGACTCCAGCAAGCAGAGCCTTAGTTTACCGGAGACCCGGTGAGTGAACCACGCAGAGACTAGAATCGCTGCAAAAAGCAAGAGGGATTTTAATGTTCAGCATGCTGGCCATCCTGCATCCCAAAAGGAGAGGCAATTGTGGGCAGCCCATCCATCTATCCAGGCCCTGAAAAACCCTCATTTAAAAACACACAAGTATGTTAAACAGATTAAAAACTCTTTGGAAGATAGATTAGGAAAATAATTTTGGGCTTAGGGATATAATCATGATAAGATTTAGCAGCTGTCCCATGACCTCTTCATATGTTGGGAGCCGACTCCTAGTAGAAAGTGGCTATCATCTTTGCAGCCATCTCAGGCCATATAACCTGACAAGAGACTTGTTTTCAACAGCCTACAACAGCTGAGCACACTCTGATAAACATGTTTTTCTCCCATATCTTGTTTTGTTGTTTAGTGCCCCCACCTGCAAGGCGCACGTGGTAAAGTGTCTTCAGCTGTGTTCCCCTGCTTGTCCACAGCTGTAAGGCACATGGTAAAGTGTATATGTACCTATGATTTCAGTGAAGGGGACTTGATCAGACTCTCTGTCTTGTCTCCATTCTTCATATCTCTTGCCCTTCCATTCCCACTCTCACTCTTGCTAGACCCTGTTGACTGACCCGAATGGACCGGGACATAGTGGCCCCCAAACGTGGGTCAGAACGGGCCGGAACAAAGTGGCTCCTAATGTGGGTCACCAAGCTGTTTGGTCTGTGCTGCTCCATGCTGCCCCTCGTTTGGGCACCAAGTGACCCGGTCCGTTCGGGTCAGTCAACAGGGTCTAAGAGAGAGAGTGGGGATGGAGGGGCAAGAGACTCGAAGAATGGAGACAAGACAGGGTGTGTGATCAAGTCCCCTTTATTGAAAGGAAATCATGGGTATATATAAGCATAAGCAGGAGGATGCAGCTGAAGACACTTTACCATGTGCGCCTTGCAGCTGGGGGCATTAAACAACAAAACAAGGTATGTGAGAAAAACAAGATGTTTATCAGAGTGTGCTCAGCTATTGCGGGCTGTTGAAAACAAGTCTCTTGTCAGGGTATATGGCTCAGATGGCTGCAAAGATGATAGCCGCTTTCTGCTAGGAGTCGGCTCACAACACTCATATACACTATGGTGTGCATGCACACACATAATAAATAAAAAGCAAACACCCAGCCCATCTTGCCGTCTGAAATGATCACCTTTTAGGCTTTGGCCCATTTTCCCACCTACCAATCTACTGAGGTGGTAAAATGGTGTCTCAATTACTTTTCTATTGCTGTGAAAAGACACCTGACCAAGACAACTTATTATTTTTTTTAAAAAAAAGGCGTTTAATTGGGGCCCTAAAGTTTCAGAGTGTGAGTCTATGACCATTGTGTTGGGAAGCACGGCAGGGACAGAGAGACAGGGAGGCAGGGCATGGTGTTGGAGCAGCAGCTGAATGTCGGAGAGCTCATATCTGATCCATAACCACAAGGCTGAGATCAACCTCATTGAGACAGCAATGGGATAATAATGGCTTTTGAAATCTCAGAGCCCACACCTATGACATAACTCCTTCAACAAGGGCCGCACCTCCTAAGCCTTTCCGAACATTCTAATTCTTCCCAGGTAGTTCCACCAACGAAAGCCCAGCCATTCAAACAAATGACCCTACAGAGCTATTTTCAAACGACTACAGATGGTAGTACATACACACTGACTGCTCTATACTCTTTATTTCTTCTTTACACACATGAGGGTTTCCCCCATGATGAGCAGTGTTTGATCAGTGTGTCTAGTTGTGTGATGGAAGACCTGTATTCAGTGGCTGTATTGTGACCCCATTATCTGGATGTGTCATATTGCTCAGTGCCATTGGGCCTGTGCTTGGCTCAGTGTTAGGCTTTATAAGGTTGAATGGGCACAGATGATATAAAAACAGACAAAATTGGGGTCAGGGGGCTTTAGACCCACAGTAACCAACCACTGTTTTTAGTTGGGTTTGTCACTAATATGTGACGGTATCTCCCACATCATTTTTTGCAAACTGAACTGTAATCTGGGTTGATTTTGTTTGTTTGTTTTTGCTTATTTGAATTAAAGTGCACTCGCTTTGAATTTTTTTTTTCTTTTTGTTTTTTTCAAGACAAGATTTCTCTGTGCATCTCTGGTTGTCCCCGGAACTCCATGTGTAGACCAGGGCTGGCCTCCAACTCAAGAGATCTACCTACCTCAATCTCCTGAGCACTGGGATCAAAGGCCTGCACTACCACTGCCCAGCTACTTTGAATTTCTTGATACAAGTTACCGGACAGCATTACAAAATGTTTGTTATATTAAAAGAGTTCAGCTCTGTCAACTTAGATGAAAAACAGAGACTGAGAGTTGGAGTGGCTCTGGTCTAGGCTAGTCTGACAAGGATGTTGACTCTCTCCAGGCAGAACATGTGTTTTCCCTCAGAAGCCATGTTCTAAATGTGAGGGGTTGACTGACCCAGGATCAGACATCATGTTGGTGTGTGTGGATCTCGGGCGCAGATGTTCCTCTCAGCCAAGCAGTAGCTTTCCGTTGGGCTTCTAATGAACGTAACTGAACTCCCGACACATACACTTATTAAGAAATGAGTGTGTCAGGCTGCAGAGATAGCTTGGCAGGTCAGAAAACTTGCTGTTCTTCCAGAGTTTGGTTTCCAGCACACTTTTTTTTTTGTTTTTGTTTTTTGTTTTTTTTTTTTGGTTTTTCGAGACAGGGTTTCTCTGTGTAGCCCTGGCTGTCCTGGAACTCACTCTGTAGACCAGTCTATCCTCGAACTCTCGAGCTCAGAAATCTGCCTGCCTCTGCCTCCCAAGTGCTGGGATTAAAGGCGTGCGCCACCACCGCCCGGCTAACTAAAATAAAAAAAACACCAGTCTTCACTGTCTTTGGGCATTTGTGTGAAGTTACAGGGTAGAAGAAGGTTCAGTATGTTAATGATTTCAACTCCAAATACCACCTTGTGGCCATGTATTTATAAGAGAGATTTGGAGGGAAAAGGTTTAAAACTGAAGCATTTCTCTTCTACAAAATATTCCAAATTAAATGTTTAGTACCAAGACAGGAAAGAACCTTCACATTTAACTAACACAGTCATTGTATATAAATGAGGAAATTAGGCTCTAAAGAATGAAGGCCGTGGCCCCACCAGGTGAGCACCAGGGCCGTGCTCCCTGCCTGGCGCCCTGTGACCTCTGCAAATACCTCTCTATGCTGCTTTAGGTTCCCACCTCCTTAGCAGCAGTTCTCTGTACTAAGCTTGGTTGTGAGGATTGAGGTGCTGTATGTACAGTCCTCAGAACCGTGCCAGAAACAAGATGCTCAGTGGTTAACTGTCAGTCTAGTCAAGCCAGCACACCTTTCTGATAACTGCAACCATGACTGCCTTCTAGTTTGTTTTTTGTTTTTTTCCTTTTTTTTTTCCCCAAAAGGCTTCAGACCTTTTAAGTTGCATTTCACCACTTTTCACGATACTCATCTTTTCCTAGACCAGTTGACAGGTTTGATCGAGACAGACCACTGAGAGGACGTGGAGGCTCCAGAGGAGGCCTGAGGAACAGAGGCCGAGGCGGTCCTGGGAACAGAGCTTTTGACTCCTTTGACCAAAGAGGGAAACGAGATTTCGAAAGATACAGTAGCAGTGATAAGTAAGCTCCTTTGCCTGTGCTGTCTCTACTTTAGATTTTATGTCTGTCGATGGCCAACTTCACACGAGTGTGCTGTCTGTCATTCTTGTAGGGCAGAATTTTTTTTTTTTTAAGATTTACTTTTTAAAATTGTATCTGTGTGTGATGTGTGTGTGTGGGTGTGTGAGTGGGTTCAGACCATGATGTGCATGAGCTGTGTCTACAGAGGCCAGAAGATGATGTCAGATCCCCTGGTGCTAGAGTTACAGACAGTCGTCTGCTGTCTGCTGTGAGAACTGCAAGTTAAACTCTGTCAGAGCAGTATGCACAGAGCCTTCTTTGCAAACCCCAGGGCAGGGTTCTCTGACTGGAAGACTGACTGATGAGGAGCAGCCTCTGCCTCAGGTTAACATGAATATTCTTTTTCTCCAGAGCAAACAGAATGGAGGACAGTATGGGTGGCTGTGGCGTTCGCCCCTGGGGATCAGGTAAAGACACTAGGTAAGGCACAAGGATGTTTCCTCTGAGAGCCTGCCGTGTAGTGCGTGCGAGAGTCTCTGAACCCTGGCTTAAAAATGTTCTCTCTGGTTGTGTTTGTCAAGTAGAAATTGATGTGAGTCGTGGTTTAGTGAGGCTAACTTTATGTGTATGTGTGTGTGTGTGTACATGTATGAAACATACATACATACCTGGGATTGACTGCTTTTTAAAACATAGTTATATTGTATTTATACTCAAAACAGTTTTTAAAGGTCTATTTGTTTATGCGCTTATGTTTTTTTTCTTTTTCAATGAGTCTCATAGTGTACCCTGGCTAGTCTGGAACTCATTATATAGACCAGGATAGTCTAGAATTCATGGAGATCATCCTTCCCCTACCTCCCAGTCAAAAGCATATGCCACTATACCAAGCCCCCCAGTCTGGTCTATTATTTTCTCTTAATTTTAGCTAAGTAATACTTGATAGATGACCACATATATTTTCATTATTTTAAACATATAATGTGGCACACTTGCACATCTCAGAATGGTTTTCTTTTTGAGACAGGGTCTCACTGTTTGGCCCATACTGTCAGTGAACTCATTACTTCTGCTCATAAGATAAGCCTCAAAAAAAGTTAAAAGATGGGACGCTTGCCAGGCATGGTAGCACACACCTTAGATTCCCAAGCACTTGGAGGAAGCAGTGCAGAGGGAGGTAGATTTCTCTGTGAGTTTGAGACTATCCTTGTATACACAGTGAGTTCTAAGCCCAAAGGACTATACATTGATTGAGACCTTTCCTCAAAAATAAGATATACATTAAAAAAAAAAAAAAAGCTGGAGTTTGGATTTTTCCTTCTGATCATTATCGTCTCTTGTTCTTAATTTTCATGTATTTATCTCTGACATCTTTAAAATATATTTTTAAGCATCCCTGACTCCTTCCTTCCTTTCCCTGTGATGTAGATGTAGTCCCTTCAAGAGTTTGCCCTCAAGAAGCAGGGCCTAAAATGTGTTTCCTTGGCCTTAACTAGACAAGGACATCAGTGAGCACATGGGTTGTGTGACGGATTTTCTTGATGCTTTTCAGTGACACAGAGCCACCTGCACCCATGGAGGAGACCTCGATGATGGAAGAGTGCCAGGGGACCCTGGACGAGGAGTCTGCAGCCAAGTAGGGAGCTGCTGCTTATGCCTATGGGTTATCTCTCGTTCAGTGATCTTCTCTCTCTCTCTGTCTCTCTCTGTCTCTCTCAGATTGGACATTGTGTTTATTGAGCACAAAGTTGTGGGTGGGTTTGGGTGTGTCTGGTGGGTGTAGTGAAAGTGTGGGTGTTTTCGTGAATGTGGAGGTCAGAGCAGGATATCAGTGTCTTCCTGTATGGTTCTATACCTTATTGCCTTGAGACAGGGTCCCTCACAAAATGAAAGCCCACTATCTCAAGCTAAGCTGACTGACCAATGAACTCTTAGGCTCTTCCTATCTCTACTCCACAGTGCTGGCTTTTTATGTGGATGTTGGACATTCACACTCTGTCCCTCAAGTACTCTCAAAAAAAGACAGGGTCTCTTTATGTACCCTGGCTGTTATATAACTCTAAGTATGTAGACCAAGCCAGCCTTGAATTCACAGAGCTCCACTTGCCTCTGCCCCCCTGGTGCTGGGATGAAAGGTGTGTACTACCATAACCAGCTGGAGCAAGCATTCTTAACCCACTGAATCATCTCCCTAGACTTTTCTCTCTTAAGAGAAAACCTTTTAAAAGCTGAATCCTTTCTATTATAACACTGGGTTGATCCTGTTTATTTGTTAATGGATAGTGATCAAACTAAGTAATCTGATGGGTTTTTTTGTTTGTTTTTAATAAGAGTATATTAAATTTTAAGTATGTGTCCTCTGCCCCTTACCCCTTCTGTCTTGCTCTTGTCTCTTTACTCTTGCCTTCCATTTTTTCATGACTGTCTCTATCTACTCAATATCTAGCCCACTTAAGCTGTAAGCCAAGCCTCCTTTCCCTGTGAATGAGCCAGGCCCCTCACAAATGAAAGCTCAGTATCTTAGCTAAGCTGGCTACCCAGCTAACTGTAAGGATCCTCCTGTTAGGACCCTCCTGTGTCCTGGCTTTGTCTCTTAAGGCAGAGCCACCTCCTGGATAACTCTTCACTCAGCCTTCTCCCTGTTGGAATACATAGCCAAGGAAATCACAAGGCAGGGTGCTTGGAACTTTTGTAAAGGTTTTTGTTTTTTGGTTTGTTTATATTTTATCACTATTATCTATGTATATGCATCACATGTGCATGTATGTAGAGGTCAGAGAACAATTTTGTAGAGTTGGTTCTCTCCTCCCACCTTTGTGTGTTCCAGGGATCAATCTCAGGTCACTAGGCTTGTGTAACAAGCATCTTTACCCCACTGGGCTATCTCACCAGCCACTTGGTAATATCTTTTTTTTTTTTTAAAGATTTATTTATTTTTATATATGTACACTGCTGCTGTCCTCAGACACACCAGAAGAGGGCATCAGATCCCATTACAGATAGTTGTGAGCCACCATGTTGTTGCTGGGAATTGAACTCCTCAGGACTTCTGGAAGAGCGGTCAGTGCTCTTAACCTCTGAGCCATCTCTCCAGCTCCCCCCTACGTAACATGTTGATTGCCAGTTTTCTGAGATGAACAGTCAACACTGTCCAGCATCACTACTTCATGGATTCTTCAAAACCTTGACAATCCTTCCCCACATCTTTGCCACACCTCAGGAAAACTCCCCAGATAAGAAGTTAATGGTTTTCCTGTTCCCAAAGACAGAGCTCAGCACCATCTCTCCTCACACCTCTTCCAGTGTTGGGTCATTCCCACTGACCTCCTCAGCCCCTCAGTTTGCACATTTCTTCTTCCCCAGCTCTGGTCTTCTGGAAGTTTAAGTGTATGCAGTCTCATGTTGTAGTCTCCCCTTTACGCTGCACGGGGTTGTATTCATTCCTCTCTCACTTGTTCCTATAACTCCAGCCCTGCTTCCTGCTGTCACTACCCTCCGAATACTTCCCCCACCTCACCAGGCCTCACGGCTATTTCAGTCTGATCTCTGTTGACTTAAGCTCAGCTCTGACTAACTTCGAGCTCTGGGTTTCCCTCTGCCTTGAGCATCTCCTTCGTGACTCATCAGTTTTGCCTCAGGCCTGTTCTCTTTCTCGGTCTTTATGTGAGCTTAATGTATCCTGCTCTTAATTGTCATGCATGTTTGACACCAAAATGCAGATCTTTGCCTTCATCCTTTGACCTGAGTCTGAGGTCTGAGTGTCTGTCTTCTGCATACCTATACCAGCTTCCCCACTGATATCTCATGCTCAGCATGACTGAACTGCTTGCCTGCCTCCCCACAAACCTCGGGGCCTCAGCAGGTGTCTGTGTTCTGGAACAGCAGTATCACTCATCAGCTTCTCCAGTCAGAAGCTTTTAGTCTCCCTTGGAAGTCCTGTTTTCAGTCTTCTCCTACCCCCAATTCATGCCTTTATTGTGACCCTAACTGTTCACCGTCTCTGTCACCAGCACTGCCTAAACTTCTGACGTCTGGTTGCCACTACAGCCCCTGAGCCTCTACATTCTCTATGCCCCAGAGTGGCTATCATGGTGTTCCAAGTGTCACATTCTCTGACCCCTTAAGATTCTTCCAGTGGCTTCCTGTTTCTTCTCTGCTTTTATTGTGATGTGCACAGTCCCTAATGGCCTGGCCTCCATAGGACCCTCAAGTTTGACCACTCTTGTACCTTCTCGGGGCTTATTTTGTGCCCCCCCTTCATGTTTCTGAACGTACCCTCCTCACCCCCACTGGCAGTCATAAAGCTTGCTTCCCTGTTTACTGAATTCTTGCCCTTCACCCTGCTGCTGATTCTTCCTTTCTTACCTTCAGCTGCCAGAGCAGACTGAGCCAGTTTGATCCAGTTATTTAATCTGTCCTCATTTGTTAAAAGGAATAATCAGCTGCTTGAACCATGGAGTTGTGAGAACTGTGTTGGGTGCTCAGCTATATTCATATCTACAAGTAGGCGAGAGGGAGGGGCCCCCTAGAGTGGAGCCCAGAACTTGGATGCTATGTAAATATCTGCCAGTGTCATCTCTTACAAGAGTGACAGTGACTGACGGTTGTGATAGCTGTGAATTTACTGCTCAAAACAACGAAGAGTGTGTTTTTAAAATAGGATTCACAGTTAACGTGACTATTTAGACTGCATTAACTAAAGTCACAGACATTCATTTCTTCAAGCTGGGAAAATGAGTTATATAGGAATCCTCACGGAGAGTTCTTATTTCTGTAGCTCTGTCAGACTTTAAAATCTCAGAAATTTCCCAGCAATTGTGCCAATTTTTGATGGTTTAAAAATTCCATTCCTTGATGCGATTGATGGTCTGCCATCCCAGCTCTGGCTGATTGATTTGACGTCGGGGCTTTCCCCATTCTGCCACAGTAGACCTTCACCACCTAGGCTTAGAACTTGAAGAGCTTAAAGTCATTTAAGTCATTAAAACTGGCATTTCAGTGAACAACCTATAATGCATGCTTATTCTTCCAACTTAGCCAGTTCACTGGTGTGTCACACCATCCTTCCCTTGTGTTCTGGCAGCTGAATTGTTCCTCATTGGTGTTCTGATGTTTGAGGGCATCTGCTACACTGACTTGCTTTGTCTCTGAGCTTGCCTCTTCTGAAGAGTTCATATAAATGGGATCTTACAAAGAAAAAAGAAGACACGTTGGCTTATTTCACTTGCCATGTTTCCAAATTTCTGTCCCGTCATGGCCTACATTAATACTTTATACTTTTTAAAAGTCTCTATTTTGTTTATCTGTTTGTCAGTTGACAGACACACTAGTAGTTTCTAGTTTGAGGCTGCTGTATGTGTCTGAAATGGATGCACATTCTCATTTCTCTCAGGTTGCTGGGAATTAAACTTAGGACCTCTGGAAGAGCAGACAGTACGCTTAACCTTAACCACTGATCCATCCAGCCCCAAAACTCTTTTCTAAGCTGATACATCACATCCCTATCTGGGTTCCAATTTTTGACATCTTTGTCAACATTTGTTAATTGCCTTTAAAAGACACCCCCCTTTTTTCCCCTTTTAAAAATGATTTATTTTTACATGTATGAATGTTTTGCCTGTATGTATGTATGTATGTATGTATGTATATATGAATGAATGAATGAATGAATGTATGTATGTATGTATTTATGTATGTGCACTACATGAATGCCTGGTACCTGTTGGGTCCAGAAAAGAGCAGTAGATTCCTTTGAACCAAAACTACAGCTGCTTGTGAGCCACTAAGTCGATGCTAAGACCCAAACCCAAAGTCTTCTGCAAGAACAAGTGCTCTTAACTGATGATGAACCATCTCTCCAGCCCCTGAATGCCTTTTTGATACTAGCTGACTATCTGATGTGGACTGGTGTAACTCCTCGTGGCTTGAGCCAGATTTCTCTGATGACTGATGACAGTGGACATTTGAAAAGCATTTAACTTGTGTATCTTACCTGCATGTGTATCTGCAAAAGCCAGAAGAGGACACAAGACGCTGGTGATTTGGACGCAGGTCCTCCTAACTGCTCCACTGAGCTATCTCTCCAGCCTGCTTTAAACATTTCGAATTGGTAACTAGGATGGGGATAGAACACTTGCTTATCACATAGGAGTCCTTGAGCTCCACTCACAGCACTCTAAAAATAAAAGTCTACAATAAAAACTTTACTCCAGGGGACTAGAGAGTTGGCTCAGCAGTTAAGAACACTGGCTGCTCTTCCAGAGGACCCTGGTTCAGTTCCCAGCACCAACATGGCAGCTCACAACTGTCTCTAACTCCAGTTCCAGGGGATCTGATACCATCTCACACACATACAATCAGAACACCAATGTACGTAGAATAAATCACTAAAACCTCACCCAAAACCATGAGTCAGAGAACAGAGTAAAACATGAAAACCGTTTCAACAGGTTCTCATGAAGTTATCAGACAAATGTGGAAATAAAAGTGAAAATATGAGGTCCACAAAAACTGATCAGAAACAGTTTTGGCATGATAGGGAAGAGGTTTGGAGCATGGGCCTGGAGAGAGTCTGAAATATTAATTTCTTTTGCTTTTAGAACCAACTAAAGAGGATATTTATAAAAGTGTGCACTTATGGCCCATTGCTTTAAGATGTCTGTCCATGATTCCCTATTACCTTGTGTCCATAGCCTCTCTTATCTTCTTCCACAGTTATCATATTGTCTATCTGCCTTCAGGAAGGGTATGTGGTGGTGCATGTGATGGAGATGACACTGGCTGATGACAACATTTCCACAGACTATTGTGGAGCAGAGAATGTACCTCCAGTTTGCAGGAAGGCATAAGATGATAGATATAACTCACAAGATATATATCCTTGTGACCTCAAGGGCTTGGGATTCCTTTTAACCTTATTTACATTTCTGATGCAGTGCCACAAAAAGTATAACTTGTTTTTCTAAAGTAGACAGACATTTGGTCCCATCAGCCAAAGAAACTTCTTTCTTATAACTATGTATCCTTACAGAGTTCCTGAGTTGGAGGTAGAAGAGGAAAATCAAGTCCAAGAGATGACCTTAGATGAGTGGAAAAACCTTCAAGAACAAACCAGACCAAAGCCTGAGTTCAATATCCGGAAGCCAGAGTCCACAGTTCCTTCCAAGGCAGTGGTGATTCACAAGTCCAGATACAGAGACGATGTAAGCTTGTCTCAGGGGAATCTGTACTGTTGACCTCATCAGGCACATAATAGACCGGTCTCGGTGGGAGTGGAAATAGGACCTTGCCATTTGGCATTCTTGTTCTCCCTTCCCCACCACCAAAAACATTTTGTATGTGGGGAGTACATGTCAAACGAGAACTTGTGGTTGTCAGGAATAGAACTGAAGTCATTAGACTTGGTACCCCACTTAGCCATCTTGCTGGCCTGCCACTGGGCATTCTTGTTTCTGCTCCAGCATCATCAAGGATGATGGGAAGGAATAGAACTTGGTTTGTGGACAGTTGAGTGCTACACATTCTCGGCCGGCCTTGAAAGTTTGGTCTGTTAGTGAAAGAGGCACAGAAGAGATGTCTTAAACATTACTGACTCTGCATTTTGATAATTAGAATGCAATTCTCTCAGGTTCTTTGGATTTAAACCATACCTTTAGTATGTAGCCTTGTCTGGTATAAAACTCACTATCCTCCTGCCTCTGCATCCTGAGATGTGTACCACCATGGTTGTTTATCTTCCATTGAGTCTGTTGATCAGTTGAAGCAATAGCTGGGAACTTAAATTCTATGATCCCTTTGTACAGTATTTTAAGAGCCCTGTTTCCTCTCTCCAGCCCTAAGAAACAATAGAGAAGCCCCTGGACTGCTGATGGCATGGTCAGACACCATTCTACAACCAGCTGTTCTGAAGGCATTATTAAGGACATCAGTGCAGACCTTATTCTTCATGGCTTCTATATAGCTCTATCCCTGTGTGTGTTCACACATACACAAACACTTGCTCGTATGCCTGTCACTCTCCACTTTTATTTTTTTTTGAGACAAGATTTCAGTGAACCTGGGAATCACCAATGCAACTAGACTAGCTAGTGAGCTCCTAGACGACTGTCTTTGCCTCTCGGTGCTGTGGCTATGGCTGAGTGTTGGGCATACAAACTCAAGTCTTTGTGCAAGCACTTTACCAGTGTGGTTCTATTTCCAGAGACCAACATCAGGCTCTTTACCACATGCCTGAACAGAGAGAGATATTCCAGGGAAAAGTATCAGTCTGTAATGACAAGGCATTTAATTGCAATCTTGGTTTTTTGGTTACTGAAGTTAAAAGAACTCTCAAGCACCCAGGTGTAGAATTTAGAATTCCTGTTGTTCAGTCACAGCATGAAACTATGCAGATGGCCATTGATGAGGAGTCATCTTCCCTGCTGGATATTACTCCTTGACTTGCAATCAGAAGTTTCGAATACTGTGTAGTTTTGTCTTAATTCCTTTGTTAGATTTCCAGTGCCATTGTAAAATGCCTGGGATCATTTACATCGAGAAAAGCTTTGGTTCAGCCTCAGGTTGTGTGGCCATGTAGCTTTGGGCATATCACCTCAAGATGCAAACAGATGGCAGAAAACTTTATTTGCTTGCCAGACTGTGGGCAAAAAACAGCCAAGTGTCTAACTGTCCCTATCTGGGACACAGCCTAAAGACCTCCTCCCTCTGCCATGCCCCCCACCTCTTTAAGATTGCATCACCTGCCAAGACCATCTCTTATGGGTCCTTTGAGATACACATGTACTTCAGCCAGGTGGCACAGCATACTCTCTCTCCTCTATTTGGTCAGTTCAAAGTCTAAGACACTTTACTAATAAGTTTTGGGATGCTCCACCAGAGACAGTTTTCATAGACATGAGAGGCCAGATAAAGCTTCCTGTGAACCCACTGTGGTGTCAGGCTGGGAAACAGGTAAAAATAGAAGCCAGTTCCTCAAACCACACCAGATCTATCTTCCCTGGCTCCAGAGATGTATTGGAATATTTGAGGTAACCAAGTTAGCCGAGTCACTGAGCTCGATTAGTTTGGTTTCAAGAAAGTGAATGTCTTTATTAATCTGGGCAATGCAGAATTTAGCCAGGAATAGTTCTTAAAGCATGAGCCAAATCTTTTGTGATTTGGTTTTTTCAACTACCTCTGTGTCTTGAATGCTGGGATTAAGGGTTTGAGCCGCTGCACCTAGCAGGATTGTAAATTCAAAGGTGTTTGGATTAAGATTAACTAGGATCTCCTGCCTATATTCCCAGTGTTTGGGAGCCTGGGGGCAAGAGGATCACCAAGGTTTCAGGCCAGCCTGAGGTATAGTTTTGCTTGTGTTAGACAAATGTCTTGGTGTCCAGCACAGATGTTCAGGGCTGGGACACATCCAGGGTCTTCCTATTCCACAGGGTCACACAGACCACCAGGGCTCCTTGATGTCCATCTGTGAGATGGCTGCGCCTGTGCCTGTGCCTGTCTGACTTTATAACTGTTGCAGATGGTGAAGGACGACTATGAGGATGAGTCTCACGTCTTCCGGAAAGCTGCCAACGATATCACATCCCAGCTGGAGATTAACTTTGGGAACCTCCCTCGCCCTGGACGGGGAGCCAGAGGCAGCACCCGGGGAGGCCGAGGAAGAATCAGAAGAACAGAGAACTATGGCCCCCGAGCAGAAGTGGTGGTGAGTGGCTTGCTGAAGGAGAAGGGATCTGCTTTGGGCTACAGTGGTCCGATTTTGTGGTTGCCTCCTAGAGCCAGTGGGAGTCTGATCTGGAGCAGTTTTGAACAGTGTCGCTTTAAATAACACAATTCCCCCAGGTGGGCCACAGGCCTCACATCTGCCTTCTTTTGTTTTTTTGTTTTGTTTTTTCAAGGCAGGGTTTCTCTCTATAGCCCTGGCTGTCCTGGAACTTACTCTGTAGACCAGGCTGCCCTCAAGCTCAGAAATCCGCCTGCCTCTGCCTCTGGGATTAAAGGTGTGCCACCACTGCCTGGCTCACATCTGCCTTCTGCTCCTATGCTGAGGCTCATGTCAGAGAGAGCTCTTTTCAGAAAACCTTGCTTAACACTGGACCTCTGTCTGTGACTTAAATAATTCCCCATTTGATATCTTTCTCTAAAACAGTAGCTCTCCGTGAGAATCTGTGTGAACTCATCCTTGCTTACCCTTGGTGGGTACCTAGCATGTAATAGTTACTTTTTAGGCTTATGGGTATGTATATGAGTGTATTGCCTGTATTTATGCCATGTGTGCACCACATAAATGCCTGGTGCCCTTGAATCCCTGGAATCTGAGTTACAAGTGGCTGTGAGCTGCCATGTGAATGTTGGGGACCAAACCCTGATCCTTTGGAAGAGCAGCCAGTGTTCCTAACCACTGAGTCAACTCTCCAGAACCAAACAGTTATTTGGAGGGCAAAAGGGAGATAGCTCCTGACAGTGGCCCTCAAAGCAGGTAGAGTGGTCTCCTTCCACTGTGGCTCCATCAGTTCCCCCTGTGCTGGGTGGGATGGGGTTACATGTGTCACACAGTAAGCTGTCTACTGCTGGTCACAGCTGGGTGGGTAAAGGGCTGGAGAGATGATGGCTCAGTGTAGGAGCACTGGCTGGTCTCCCAGAGAACCCAAGTTTGATTCCCAGCACACACATGGTAGCTCACAACTATCTATAATTCCAGTTCCAGGGGTTCCAATGCCCTCCAACAGACACACACCCAGGCAAAATACCAGTGCACACAAGTAAAAATACTTTCTTTTTAGATCCAAGATGTTGCTCCCAACCCGGATGACCCTGAGGACTTCCCCGCCCTGGCCTAACAGCCACTCCCCCTGCAGCAGAGCAGCACTATGAAGAGACTTTCCTTGCCGCGAGAAGAGTCAGACTCTAAGAACAATAGATGTTGCTTTTCCCGTGTCGTGTGAAATTGTTGCACTTTTTTGCTCTATGGAATATGGAGTTCCCATGAGGTCAGGCCCTTTCCCCAGATGGAGACTTTTGTAAGGAATAATGTTTAAAATGTGTACATAGATTCTAACAATTCCATCATAGAAGTACAGAGTAAAGTAGAGAACAGAACTGCTGGGCATGGTGGTGCATGCCTGTAAACCTAGCACTTGGGAAGCAGTGCCAGGCAGACCCTGAGTTCAAGGCCAGCCTGGTCTACAGAGTGAGTCTTGAAAAACAAGACAAGTCCTTTTAGTGTTTCAGGACACGTGGAGACACCGAGAACCGCTCATGTAGAGCCATCCTACCCTAATTATTGCTCAATTCTGAGAAAATTCCTGAGTTGTGGTTTAGACATTGTACACCAGGGACAACCACTCTGAAGCAGAGGAAGTGGTGATTTAAACTACCTCGTGGTCTGTGTGTGCACATATCCTCACCTAGTATGTGTGTGCAGACTTAGGGTTCAAGTGGTTGTTGAGTATAATCATGTTACTCACTAAGCAAATGAAAAGGCTTCCTGGTAAAAGTGTATATATATATATTTTTTTTCACCCTCAACACTAGTGCTGAATCCCAACAGACTGACTTGTAACTCAAATGCATTTACTGACTGCGAACATGGGCTGGTCCCTCCCCTGGACCCAGTTCTTGTGTTGTTCTTAAGGCCTCTGGTAGAGGTTTAGGGTTAGGGACCACCTCAGAGGCTCAATCACCCCAAACAGCTTGAGCTGTAGAGCCAACTACCCACCCACTCACCCACTGACAAAATTAGGGAAGATTCATTGTATGTGGGAAGGACCAGCCAAGGTGTTGCGACAGCTGTAGAGATTGGGAAGGGAGGTTTGCCTGTTGTGCTTGCAATGGAACCTTGCTTGCTCCCAAGACCTGTGTTTTCCCCACTTGGCCACAAAGTATGAGATGGTGCTGAACTGGAACCCAGGTGTAAACGAAGGTTGGTATTGTATTCCCTGTGAACTTTGTATAAAAACTGAACTCTTAGGGTTCGGTTGAGTCATCAAAGCTCAAGGGCATCTAGGGTTAAGTTGAAGCCCTAGACATAAGGATTGAGGATGTTTGCTTTGGGTGACCACCTGCTTCTGATCCCATGTTTATTAAATGAATGAGTACAAAGGTGTATTAACTGTCTGCCTTATTCATTTTTCCCCCGGCTGGCGGGGGGTGTCAGGTGGGGCTGGCACACTGCTTGTGAGGACTATGATCTGACTGGAGAAGCCTGCATCGACTTCTGTCATAACAGTCACTGGGGCAGCGAGGGTTGCTCCATAAAGGCATTCGGCCTCCCTTGACTTTGAAGGTCTACAAAGCAGGCTTTCTCTCAAGAACATTCCCCTTTGAAGTTGTGAATGATACTGGCAATGCAGCCTTGACTCATATTATCAGACAGCAGATGGCCCTACCCAGGGGCTACCTTGCTAATTTAATGGGGTAAATGGATACAATCTTTGCTTGTAGCATGCACGGGCAGAGGAAGTCATTAGCAAGCTCATTCTGCATGGGCTTCAACATTCATGCACCCAAAACTACCTAAACTCAGAATTCCCTGCCAGACTCTTAGACATGTCATGAGGTGGGCTCCTCAGCCTGTGCTTCTGGCTGGTAACTTAAAACCCAAGCCGATCAACCACACCAAAGAGACCTAGTCTTAAAATTTGAAGGCCAGGCAGGGGTGTCACTTCTAACTAGAGGGTTTCAGGCATCTGAGTTGAGGGCTTGCGGGCTGTCAAACATGGCCTGGCAACTTGCCCAGCTGGGGCATGATCATGAGCCATGTCTATATGTCTAAATAGGATAGTGTGGCTGGCACAGATGTTTCCTGTCTCAGGATGACAACTTAAGGTAGTTGTGACCCAGAGGCTGCTGCTAGAGATGTCTGCTCCAAGGGTTTCAGCAGAGGGTCTGGACACTTGGCCAGGCTGCTCTGTAAAGTAGCTACAGCTAACATCTTTGCTGTTTTCAGGCCAGGCAAACAAACACCCTCAGGGTGTGAGCAAGGCTAGAGCAGCCAGACCCAGTCTCAAAGTAGCCATACCCTCTTGTGAACAAGGGCTGCCCACTGCAGACTTACATGCAGTACTGTGAGGAAAGGAAGGTCTGCCTGTGTTTCTCTTGCTATTGCTACCTCCCACCCAGCTTCCTGTGAGGATCAACCTTCGAGGGTCCGATCTGCTCCCACTGTATCCCAAGGACAATCCTAAGTGGACCACGGGCATTGAAAATGTGACCCTAACCCTATTGTCACCTGTTTCTAGAGGGAATGGATTAGGGGGAAAAAAAAAACAGGTTCACCTGAAACCTTCCTGAAACATGAAAGTGCAGAACTCCTAATCCCCCACACCAAGACACTTTCCCTCTGGGTCCATGCCAACTGCCACCTCCCCTCTCTGTAAACCACCATATCCTGACCCACCTGAACTATTACTCAAAACAGTGCAACTCAGATCCCACAGGCATGGCTGCTCCCACCATGTTCCAGTTATACCTTCTCTTGGGCACCCGGACTTCTTTGCAGTCTGAAGAATAGCCCACCTATCTGTGTCTTCCTGAAGGAGGACATCTGCCCTGTATGTGCCTGGTCACTCACAAAAAGGTAACCAGAGATGAGAAGAGGGCTAGGCAGTGTCCCTGAGCCCACTGTCCTAGACACTATAATCCAGAGACAAAGGGCCATGTATGTATCACAGGACACAAGAATCCATGGAATATGTGTGGCATGCTTTTGTTTTAGCTACCACAAGAGCCACTATGAGAGATACTGGAGTAGACCATGGGTCAAGCTTCCAGTGACTTGGTAACAGGAATGTCCCTAATCGAAGCACAGAGGTACCTAGAACCCAGAAAAGAGTGACAAAGTATTCTTTCCAAGAATGCCCAGTTCCTGGTGGGGACTGTAACTGGGCACACAGAAGCATTTGTGAGAGAGGCGAGGCGGCATCAGCCTGTACAGACCCGGGGCAACTCCTGAGAGTTGTCAAATACTAAAGGCACCAAAGAGTACCTGTGTGCTCATTTATGATGAGTCCACAGAACTGTACCAGTGAGACACTGAGACACTAGCTGTGTGGCCCCATGGTACAGCAGCAAATCCCAAATGCTCAGGAATGCAGTTGATAAAGATCCACAGAGACCGTTTTGGAAGGGGAGAAAGGGAATAAGAATACCAGGCACCCTGTGAGGGAAGTGAACTGTGACCAGTGTGAAAACACTGGTGAGGATGTTCACCAAGCATCTCTATAATGCCTTGGGGTACCAGGCAAGGAGGTGTTGTATACCCCAGTGGTGCCTCCCAGGCCTGCTGTGCTCCTGTGGAACCTGCCACACTGCTGAAGTTGACCAAAGCACTCATCAGGCTTGGAACTGAGCAGCTACCCCGGGCTTCAAGTTGGCCCCCTTCTCAACCACCAACAGAGCTGATTTGACACCCAGGGGAAATACTGGAAGAACGAGACAGACACATTTGCTGGGTGGCTGAGGCACCAGCCTAAAAAATCAGGCTTACATTGCACAGGACAAGGAATCGCAGTGGGGAGAGCAGCACCGTAGTCAGAAGGGACCTCCAGAGGGCTAGGCCCTGCGAACCCCAAGCCACATCAATAGCCGGTCTATAAAGGTTACAGCCCGAGACAGCCAGCCATCACTGGAAAAGGAGGAGATGGTTAAGCTGTTCTCACATCTGTTCTCATCCCCAGTCCAGGGCAAGCCATTGTGCTCAATGCAAGGCATGTCCAATGAGACCCTTGCAGAACTGCCTCTCCATATGAGTAAAGCCCTACAGTTTCCCTTCCCATCCTGTCCATCCACAATGCCAGAGGACTTGCCAATCCCAGGACTAAGGTGTTCCCTGTGTTCTCCAGCTGGACCCTCAGCAGAAATCCTCCATTTTCAGGGGCTGGGGATAATAGACCCAGGTTACTGTGAAGACATCTAGAATCAGGCAGGAGGGCAGCTGGCTAGATACCCTGAGGCGCACCCTGGAACCTCAGCCCTTAGAAGCTCTGCTTCTCCACTATCTCTAAGTGGGGTCTTTTTTCTTCCCCACTGGTCTAAGGGCAAGGAATCGCTATCTCAGTGGGATCCCTAGAGTGCTTGGGCAGCTGCTGTGATACTTCTAACAAATGTTCTATATACACTTAGCCATTCTAGGGGTGGGGAGCAACAGGACCCCCTGAAATGGCAGAAATCGGGGAGGAGGGGAATGGAACTATTCAATGGCTGGGAGCCTGGCTGGCACTGAATAGGTGTGGGTGAAGCTATGTCAGACACCCTGCATTCTCTAGACACCCTTCCTATTCACGGAAGAATTGACCTATCTGAAAAGATTTGTTCCTCAAGCACAGTCAGTAAAGCCCCACCCACCCACCAGCCTGCACCACCTTCTCCTCCTCTTTCTCTTCCCACCCAGAGCCTCTGTTTAAAAACCAGGCTGCTCTGTAAGGCCACTGGTAGTCCTCCGTGAGATCTGGCCCTCCAAAGACTTCTTTACCTGGCCATTTCCGTCTGGACAGAACATTGGTCATCCAGGAGCTCGTCAAAGCCATGCAGACTTGCTGGCAAAAAGATGAGATTTAGTTAGAAACAAGGCAAGGCAGCAGGTGTGGTACAGGGCAGCACATAAGGACTTACACACAACCAGTGCCCTCAGAAAGGGAAATGGGAAGGAGACTGTACAGATTGCCCAGAAGGGTCCACCCCCCACCCCCAACAAATATGACAGAGACAGGGTCATACTGTGCCAACCACCAAGAAAAAAAAAACACATCAGTTTTGGATAATAGAAAAAGGAATAGATCCCCCATGACCTCAGTACTAGGGGCCAATGTCCTGTTATTTCACCAACTAGCTCATGCATGTCCCAACAGCTGCTAATGGGAGCATTCCATTTGAAAAGCATTATAGCAATATTTTCATTTTTTTAATTGAATATAATACAAATATATTAGTACATGTTGAGCTCTTGCACCAAGTGGCTCATGGCATTATTGCACACCACTAACGTCCTATCCCAGCTGGAATATTACCATCCCCATCTCGTGAATAGAAACAGATCTATGTCAGCTAAGCCCAATCAATAAGTAAATGGCCACAGCCAAGTTTTGTACAAAACAGACTGGGCTCCAGATGATTCTGTCAAACTGCTCCTTCATGCAGGATATAACACAGGCTTGAAAACTGGCTTTGCTTTTTAAGAGAAATTATATGTATGTTGGGATGGGGCATGTACATCCTGGGTGTGTATGTGTGTGTGTGCTTGTGTGTGTGTGTTGGGACTGGGGCATGTGCATCCTGTAGAGAGCTGAGGACAGTTCTGTGGAGTCAGTTCTTTCTTTCTACCTTTATGTGGGTCTAGGATAGAACTTAAGTCACCAGGCCTGTCTGGGAAATGCGTTTATCTGCAGAGCCATCCTGGTAGCATTTCTGCCTATCTTTCCACTCACAATCCCTTAGCAAGGCCTCTCTGCACAAGCCAAGACTTACCTGCATTGAGTGTATTCCCACCTTCAGGTAAAGACAAATGTGAGTTATCAACTCAGGTGCATGAGATTACATACCAGAAATATCAGAAACAGAGGACCATAGTCTACTAAAATCAATCTTTATAAGGCAGATCACCCAGAGTGAGCTGAGTCAACATCAGATACAGGGGGCTTCCCCTAGTCCTGCCAGCTCTGGGACCAAGCTACAAACCATGATCCATTGGCCTATAGGATTCTTGAGTCTTACTCTCCAGTCCATCAAATCTTCAAGTTGTTCAAGCTGGCAAAAAGGTGCATATGGAGTGATCTCATAGCAGGAGTGCACTCACTAACCTCCTGTGTCCCCCCTCCCTTAAAACTGAGGTTCTGAAGACTTACCCTCCTAGTACCTTACAGTTGGCTACATATGCAGACAAGACCTTTTAAGAGACAAATGTAAAATGAAGCCAGGAGAGTGGCCCTAATCCATTCTCACTGCTAAGCTTCTAAGATCAGGTATGGGCAGGCAGTTCAGAAGAAAGGGCATGTGAAGTCCAGTGAGAATTGTCTATGAGTAAGCAAAGAACAGAATCCCTCAAGAGAAACCCATCCTGATGATGTCTTGGTCAAAGCTTCATGCTTCTGGCACTAAGAGGGAACACATTT